TTTAAAAAATGAAAATAAATTTAAAAAATAAAAACAAAAGCACAAGAATCATACTCTGAAAACTGCAAAACATTGCTGAAATAAGTAATAACTATTGAAATAAATGGAAAAACAGCCCACGTTTATTGATCAGAAGATAATATTGTTAAAATGGTAGTGCTTCTCAAACTGATTTGCAGATTCAATGCAATGCCTATGAGAGTCCCAGCTGACTACTTTGTAGAAATTGACAAGCTGATTCTAAAATTCATATGGAATGTTGGCAAATTGAACACCAATAAAAAATAAATTTATAAAAAAATAATAAAGGTTAAAAATAATAATAATAAATAATAAAATAAAATTCATATGGAAATTCGAGGGACCTGAAATAACCAAGACAGTTCTAAAAAAGAAAAACAGCTTTTTTCTGCCCCTGGACGCTGCTGAGTAAGCATCATTAAAGTCTCCCCTCCCACTGCTGTCATGTCTAAGTCAGAGTCTCCCAAAGAGCCTGAGGAGCTGAGGAAGCTCTTCATTGGAGGTTTGAGCTTTGAAACAACCGATGAAAGTCTGAGGAGCCATTTTTTTATAAATTTATTTTTTATTGGTATTCAATTTGCCAACATATAGAATAACACCCTGTGCTCATCCCATCAAGTGCCCCCCTCAGTGCCTGTCACCCATTCACCCCCAGCCCCCACCCTCCTCCCCTTCCACCACCACTAGTTCGTTTCCCAGAATTAGGAGTCTCTCATGTTCTGTCTTCCTTTCTGAAAGGAAATATAGGGGAAAGGAGAAAATATGAGTGGGGAAAAAAAATGACTGAGGAGCCATTTTGAGCAATTGGGAACCCTTACGGACTGTGGTAGTGAGAGATCCAAACACCAAGAGCTCCAGAAGATTTGGGTTGGTCACATATGCCACCGTGGAGGAGATGGATGCAGCCATGAATGCAAAGCCATGCAAGGTGGAGGGAAGAGTTGTGGAACCAAAGAGGGCTGTCTCACGAGAAGATTCTCAAAGACCTGGTGCCCACTTAACCGTGAAAAAGATTTTTATTGGTGGCATTAAAGAAGACACTGAAGAACATCATATAAAAGATTATTTTGAACAGTATGGGAAAATTGAAGTGACTGAGATCATGACTGACTGAGGCAGTGACAAAAAGAAAGGTTTTGCTTTTATGACATTTGATGACCATGACTCTGTAGACAAGATTGTCATTCAAAAGTACCATACTATGCTATATGTTGGCAAATTGAACTCCAATAAAAAAAAAAGAAAAGAAAAAAAGGTACCATACTGTGAATGGCCACAACTGTGAAGTAAGGAAAGCCCTATTGAAGCAAGAGATAGCTAGTGCTTCATCCAACCAAAGAGGCTGAAGTGGTTCTGAAAACTTTGGTGGTGGTTGTGGAGGTGGTTTTGGTGGGAATGACAACTTTGGTCTTGGAGGGAACTTCAGTGGTTGAGGTGACTTCGGTGGCAGTCAAGGTGGTGGTGGATATGGTGGCAGTGGGGGTGGCTAGAACGGATTTGGTAATGATGGAAGTTACTTTGGAGGTGGAGGAAGCTATAACAATTTTGGCAATTACAACAATCAATCCTCAAATTTTGGACCCACGAAAGGAGGAAATTTTGGAGGCAGAAGCTCTGGCCCCTACGGTGGTAGAGCCCAATACTTTGCCAAACCATGAAACCAAGGTGGCTATGGCGGTCCCAGCAGTAGCAGGAGCTATGGCAGTGGCAGAAGGTTTTAATCACTGCCAGGAAACAAAGTTTAGCAGAGAGGAGAGCCAGGGAAGTGATAGGGAAGCTACAGGTTACAACGTATTTATGAACTCAGCCAAGCACAGTGGTGGCAGGGCCTAGCTGCTACAGAGAAGACATGTTTTAGCCAATACTCATGTGTATGGGCAAAAAACTCGAGGACTGTATTTGTTACTAACTGTATAACAGGTTATTTTAGTTTCTGTTCTGTGGAAAATGTAAAGCATTCCAACAAAGGGTTTTAATGTAGATTGTTTTTTGCACCATGCTGTTGATTGCTAAATGTAATAGTCTGATCATGATGCTGAATAAATGTGTCTTTTTAAAAAAAATAAAAGAAAAACAAGGTAGGAAGACACACTTCTCAATTTAAAAACTTAATATAAAATGGTCATCAACGCAGTATGAAAGTCCAGAAATAAAGCCCATGTCCATGCCCAACTGCTTCTTGATAATAGTGCCAAAATCATTCAGTGGGGGAAAGAACAGTCTTTCTAACAAATGGTGCTGGAACAACTGGATAGTCACATGCCAGAGAATGAAGTTGGACCCCTACCTCACCCCATATACAAAAACCAACTCAAAATGGACCAATGAACAAAATATAAGGGTTTAAAATAAAAAGCCATTAGGAAAAAACACTGGGGTGAATCCTCATAACCTTGTGTTTGGCAATAGGATTTTTGATATGATATTCAAAGCACAAGCAATAAAAAGAATAATAGATAATGTGAGCCTCACCAAAATTTTAAAATTCCTTTTTGCTTCAAAAAACATCGTCAAGAAAGTGAAAACCTGAGCACCTGGGTGGCTCAGTTGGTTAAGCATCTGACTTTGGCTCAGGTCATGATCTCAGGATCCTGGGATCAAGCCCTATGTTAGGCTCCATGCTCAGTGGGGAGTCTGCTTGTCCCTCTCCCTCTGCTCCTCCCCCACTCATACTTTCTATCAAATAAATAAATAAAATCTTTAAAAAAATAAAGTGAAAACCTATAGAATGGGAGAAAATATTTACAAATATATGTGCATATATCTGGTAAGAGACTTGTATCTGCAACATTTAAGAACACTTACAACTCAATAATAAAAAGACAAATAACAAAATGTAAAAATAGGCAAAGGATCTGAAAACACATTTCCCCAAAGATGATATACAAATGTTTGTTATGCACATGAAAATATGTTTAACATCTTTAGTCATCAGGGAAATACAAATCCAAGAAAACAATGAAATACCCACTTTACACCCACCAGGATGGCCATAACCAAAAACAGATAGTAGCAAGTGGTGTTGAAAATGGGGAGAAACTGGAGCTCTCATTTGTTGCTAATAGGAAGATACAAAGCGGTGCAGCCGCTTTGTAAACTAGTCGGGCAATTCTTCAAAAGGTTAAACATAGACTTAATATGTAATCCAGCAATTCCATTCCAAAACATATACTTAAAAGAAATGAAACTCTACATCCACATAAGATCTTATAATAGAATGTTTAGAGCAGCATTGTTTATAGTAGCCAAAAAAGTAGGAAAAACTCAAATGACCACCAACTGATAAATGGATCAACAAATATGGTAAAAATTAAATATTATTATCATAAATGGAATATTATTTGGTCATAAGAAGGGATGAAGTTCTGATGCATGTTACAACACAGGTAAATCTTGAATACATTATGAAAGCAAAAGGAGCCAGTCACAAAATACTACATATTGTGTGATGCCATTCATGTGAACTGTCCAGAACAGAAAAATCCATAGAGATAGCAGAAAAGTGGTTGCCTAGGGCTGGGAGGACAAGGAGAATGGGCAGTGATGGCTAACATGTACCCTATTTCTTTGTGGAATGACGAAAATGTTTTAAAATTGATCTTTGTGATAGTAGCACAATTCTGTAGACACCAGAAGCCATTGAATTGCTCACTTTAAAGGAAGAAATGTAAGGTAGGTGAATTATATCTCAATAACGCTATTACAGAAAAATAAAAGGAAGCAAGGAGAGACTCTTTGATCTGTGCCTACCACCCAGCTGTTCACACTGTAACCTCTGCATGTTATTTTCTTTGGTTCTTCCAGCCACCTTGTGGTAGAGGAATTACCTCCATTTGAAAGATACTACAGTTGCTTTGTGATTTGCTATCAAATCAGACCCTATCTCCATGAGAGAAGAAGGAAGCCAGTTTAGATGCCGACAGAGTACAAGGAGCTATGCCAGGCTCTTCACACACATCATCTCATTTAATCCTGAAGCACCCCTCTGAAATGAGTGTTATAGCCCCATTTTACAGATAAAGAAATCCAGGTTCAGAGAGGTATAAGCCTTATGTCCTAAGACATACAGCATTGACACAATGGAGCAAGATTTGAACCCAGTTCTGTTGGACTCCACTGCTGGTGCCCTTTCCCCTGTGCCATCCCTGGTTCCCAGGATCTGAGTCCTGTGCCCCCGATACCAAGTGCTCCTACCTGCCCTTCTCCCCAGCCCCATGCTGCTAGATTGGTGTGTGCTTCCCGTCTACCTCTCTCACCAGCCGGGCTGTCTCCACCTGCACTGTACACAGAAAGAACAAAGAGCTGGTCTTGGTGCCACAGCCAGCTGGCCTGATTCCCCAGCAGAAGGAACCTCAGTGCCAGAGAAGCCTGTGTCTAAGGAAGCCCTAGAAGACACAGAGGAAGAGGAAAAAAAAAACCACTTCCCACTGCAAATGGGCCAGGGGGAGATGAATGCTCAGCTTGCTGGGGGAGACCCCTGAGAAGGGCAGGAAGGGCACAGTCCTCCACGGGAAGTCCTGGTCAGAATCCCCACCTTGGGCAGACTCACCATGGAACAGAAAGGTTCACGGTGGGACAACTGTAGAACTGGACATTCTCTGGTGAGAGTACTGGGGGCTTTGATCTCGGCCAGGAGCCTGGACACTGGGCTTCCAAACCAGCCCAGGCACATAGCCCCAGTCTTCACCCATTTCCTAGAAGATGGTTCCAGCAGGTTTGGGATGGCTCACCTGGCTTCCACAATCCCTCCTCCCCACTGGTACCCAGGGGCTGGGATCTGAGCTGGGAGAAGGGGCTTTCCCTTGGAAGGGAGGGGAGATGGAACAAGAGGAAGATGAGGCCAGGAATGGGGCTGAGTCACCATGGTCTTGTCACAATGAGGGCAGGGCTTCTCTGCTTGGCCCAGCCCTGGAGGCAGGCTGGTGGGACGCGCCCAGTGACTGCTGGGGTGGAGCTGGATCCTCTTAAGGAGAGGGAGAGCTCCCTGGACTCAGCATGAGCTGCAGGGTCATGGCCAAGATGAAGGGTAAGTGGGGTGCCTCCTACAAGGCAGACACACCTGAGGGAGGAGGTGTTGGACACTGAAACTGAGTTAGACAGAGGGAGGGGGTTGATGGGTCAGAGGGGGAGTCTGGGCAGAGGGCCATGAGAAAGGAAAGACATAGGGACTGAGACGGACAGGGCTAGAGCAGGGGCTACACACAGGTCCAGGTGTCAAAAGTAAATCCAGAGAATGGGTACAGGTCAGGATAATGAGTCTGGGGGTTGGACCCATTCAAGGGGAAGGACATGCGGCCTGAGATAGGAATGGTGGCAGCTCAGGGAAATGGAAGAGTTGACAGGGTGAGAATGGACTGGGGAGGTTGAGGTAAGCCTGGAAAGTAGGGAGAGGGGGTGGGGGCTGGGGCTTTGTGCCATGGTGCGTGGTCACCCCTCTTCTTTTCTGAGGAGTCACTCCTGCAGAAGACTCTGCTGGCATTGGGAAGGGCCTGCACTAGTCACTGGCTGGGTCTCCTGCCCCTTTTCAGAGGTGGCCCCCGAGGGGCCCTTTCCTCTCTGTGCCCCTCGGGTGTCCAGCATGGACAAAGACCAGACTAAGGGGTTTCTCACCCACCCCAAAATCCTAGGACTAGTGCAAAGGGGGCAGAGCACATCACAGCTCCTGACTGTTTCCCTTCAGGGCAGGGGACACCAAAGAAACCCCCCAGCCTCCCGTTGCAGACTCCCAGGGGAATTTCTCTGTGCATCAGAGCAGTTAATTGTGGACACGGGAACCACGTCACTCGGGACCTATTGCGTGTTACATATTAACTCCGGTTTCCCGTCTTGGCTGCACATTAGGAAAGCTGGAGGGATTTGAAAAAATACTGTGAGGCTAGAGAAGAGTAGTGGGCCCGCCAAGGTCCCATGGGGCACTGGTGATGTCGCTGGGAAACCGGTCACAGGTCCCCCCCTGAAAAGAAGCATGCCTCACACACACTCTGGCTTTCACACACAGGGGCACACAACACCGATCCTCTCACATCCTCAAAGAACACACACATCCTTTGGCTCTGCCACCCAGCCTCACGCTCAAACACACTCACAGAATCACACACAAGAACACCAGCAACCACATTTCCTCTCAAACCCAAGCAAATGCATGCATGTCATGCTCACTCTTCAGACCCAAACCCAGGCCACACACAGACACACACACACACACACACACACACACACACACACATGCATCTTGCTTTCCCATATAGATTCATCCGCACGTTTGCTCAGGTGCCCACACCACACCACAGACACACTCCCTCCCATTAAATCACAGATGATGCACAGTCTCACAGGGCAACAATCACAAACTCACAATCACTGCAACTTACATCACAGTCAAGCTCACACACACACCCAGCATCAGAAGCTGGCATATTCACAGAGATGGCCCTGTCCATGCTCATGAGTTTCCAATCACATGCCCCCAACATGCACCCATGCATTCACATTCACCATCACACAGCTGACACCAGAATGGTTCATACATACATCCATATCCCACACAATCACCACCACACAGACACAATCACAAACACACATGTTTACAACCACACATTTGACAGATATTTTCTGATCTCACCTCTCTTGCCCATTCACACAGCCAAGGTCTTCCTAGGTAGGGCAGGATACAGAGCCTGGGCCCCAGAGAGGCAGCCTCTGATTCCCTTCCCCACCACAGGAATCCTGATCCTGGGGCTCTTCTTGGCTACTCCCAGCTGCCTTGGCTACTTTGAGGACCTGGCCAAGTGCTTCCAGGACCCCGAATACGAGTCCATCCTTGTCACAGCACAGGAGGGGCTCCACACCTCCCCGCTGACCAAGCGTGTGATAGTGGTGGGAGCTGGCATGTCAGGTCTGGCGGCAGCCAAGGCCCTCCAAGATGCTGGCCACCAGGTGAGCAGATCTTGGGAGGGGATTCAATCTTTTGCCTCTGGTTTCCTTCCTTGGGTAGAAAAATAAAAAGAGAGACGATACACCCCACTCTTAGATCACTGATCATACCTGGCTGGGGCTCTTAGCCCTTAGTTATGGCTCCTCAAAACTCTAGGCTCCCCTGAGACTTGACCCCAACTGCACGTGTGTTCTCACGGAAGCAAAAGTGGAGAAGAGTTACGCTCACAAGAAAAGGCCAAGAGGCACTCGGTTCCCCACCACCATGGAGCATCCTGCCCCACTTATATCCTTTAGGACCCTCGCCTCCATTTGGTTATCTGGCACATTCAAGGAACCCACTGCTGGGAATTCCAGACTAGAGCCTGTGGCCAGGTGGAGATGGGTGTCCAGGGTGGGAGAAGGGAAAGCATGACACTAGGAACAACAGCAGGTTCTCTGGACCCCAGGTAACCATCCTGGAAGCCAGCAACCATGTCGGGGGTCGAGTTGTCACATTCAGGAATGAGAAGGAAGGCTGGTACCATGAACTTGGACCCATGCGAATCCCAAAGTCCCACAGGTAAGTGCCAGGGAAGGGGTGGGTAAAGGACAAGCAAGAGGAATTAGGTGGCGGGGGAGGCCTGCTGCCATAATGCCAGAGCTTCTGAGATCCATTGTCTCATGTGGTTCAATCCTGTAAGTCAGGACCAACACTGGTCTCCCATTTGATAAGGAAGACCAAGACTCAGAACCTAGGGTCACACAGGAGGTGGTAGGTCCCAAACAAATAAATAAGAGTTACCATTAAGTCATCAAATTGTGTACTTCAAATATGGACAGTTTCTTATATGTCAATTATATGCCATTAGGCTACAAACTAATACTAATTAGTCATTATATCAGCTGCCATTCATTGAGCACCTCTATGTGCCAAGTGCCATGCCAAATGCCACACCTGCATTATTTAATCAGATCCTCTTATGTTTCTCACTTACAAATCAAGAAACTGGGCTCAGAGATATTAAGTGACTCATCCAAGGTTCTCCTAGGAGGAAATGATACAGTTCCTCTTCAAAATCAAGGAAGCAACTGGCCCCAAAACATATACTCAGCTTGTGTGTATATGAGATGATATTATCTCTTTGTGTCTCTCAGGCATAAATAAATAAAATATTAAAATTAAAAAAGAAATGGGATTTCAAAGCCTGAAACCAAAGGCCTTGGTCTCTACCCAAGTTCTGTACTTGGGGATTTCTTTTTCTTTCTTTCTTTTTTTTGTTAAACATTTTATTTATTTATTCATGAGAAACACAGAGAGAGAGAGAGAGGCAGAGACACAGGCAATGGGAGAAGTAGGCGCATGGAGCCCCATATGGGACTCAATTCCGGATCCCAGAATCATGCCCTGGGCCGAAGGCAGACACTCAACCGCTGAGCCCCCCAGGTGTCCCTGTACTCAGGGATTTCTTAAAGGGCCTTCATTGGATAATGGGTAGACTCTGTCCTCACGATCTCCCTTGGGCCAAAAAAAAGAATGAAAAGAATACTACAGCATAAGGAAGCAGGTTTAGAGTTGAAGAAACAGTCTGAGCTCCCTGGGCACATGAAGAAACTAGTTTCCCCGGAAATGGCTTCTATAAGTGAGGCCAGTGGGCACGAGGTGTCACTGGGATGGGTGCCATGTTACACCTGTATTTGTTCTAGGCTGGTTCATACCTACGTCAAGAAGCTTGGCCTGAAGCTGAACAAGTTCATACAGTATGATGACAACACCTGGTACCTCATCAATGGACAACGCTATCGCACCAGGGAGGTCAAAGACAATCCAGAGGTCCTGGGCTATTCCGTGGACCCAGTGGAGAAGGGCAAAGGCCCCACAAATCTCTTCTACCAGTCCATCGCCAAGGTGCCTCCTGCCTCACCCCTCCCAGGGTTGGGAAAGTACAAGTTTTGGCCCAAGGCCCTGTGAAAAGTTAGTGGATAGACACTGGTGACCTAGTTCCCATCCAGCAATCTTGTGATTGGTCCAGTACCTAGTGGTCCAATGGCCCATTGCTTGATGGTGACAGTGGACAGAAAAGGAATCACCAGATAACCCAATCTCGGTAATGAGCCAGTCTTCCTGGATTGCACGGAATGTCTTCCCCTTAAATTTTAGCCTCCAAAGGTCTTAAATAAAGGAGAGATTTGGGAGGAAAGAGGAGCATTTAGGAGCTCTTGGAAGCACCCTTCCCCTGGTCTTTCCATCCACGCCCTCTTGTTCCCTCCCTCGTCAAAGGGACATCCAGAGAATGCAGGAGTCCTGCCACTGGCTCTATGGCTTTAATCTAAGCTGCTTTCCCCTCTCTCTCCTTTTGCAGGTCAAACAAAATCTGAAAAATTTCAACTGCAGCCGCCTGATATCCTTTTACGATTCTTACTCAACCAAGGTATGTGAGGCACAGAAGTCCCAAGATAGAAGCAGAGGGGTTCTGTGCTCAGCCTGCTCCCTGGGGTTGCCCACTGCTGACCTGGACCCCCTCTTCCCACTGCCAAAGCCTTAACTTCCCTGGAATCCAGTCCCGCCCCTTGCCTGCCCTAGGCCCCTGCTGAAGTCCCTTCCAATGTGCTGGGCCCTCCATCAGGAGCTTCCACCTCCTTGCAGGCTTACTTGCTGAAAGAAGGGGCGCTGAGCGAAGGAGCAGTAAAGATGATCGGGGCTCTGATGAATGAGGATTCTGGATACTATAAGTCCTTCCTGGAATCCCTGAGGAGTAGCTTCATCTTCTCCAATAGTGACAAGTAAGGTCAACTGGGACCAGGGCTGGAAACTGCCCCTCCTCCAACTCTCAGAGCAGAGAAATGGAATTATGATCACTGAGTAATCACTATGTACCGGGCACAATGATAGCATTTTTCAACAATTGTCACGTTGAGTCACCTGGAAGATCGGTACTATTAGAGCCATTTTACAGGTGAGGATGTAAGACTCAGAGGAGTTCTATAATTTACCCAAGTTCACCTAAAGGGTAAAAGCTGGAGCCAGTATCCAAACCCAGGTCTGTGGGACTCCTTCTGGGACACAGGACGGCATGGCAGTTGAATCCATATGCGGTGGGGCTAGACTGTATGTGTCATCCCCACACAGTCCTTCTCCACCAGGTATCAATTTTCCAAAGTATAAAATTAAACAATGATCCTTCTCTTACAGAGACTAGTTAAGGAGACGTATATGAAGCATCCAGCACAGGCTGCAGGAAGCTAGTTGCCTCACTTTTCAGACCAGGAAGGCTGCCAGAGACTTAGCAAAGGGGCCTAGTGCCCCCACGCTCACTCTCTCTTTTCCTCTCATCCCTGCAGCTTTTCCGAGATCACCGGTGGCTTTGACCAGCTCCCCAAAACCCTCAGCAGCAGCCTGAAGCCTGACACCATCCGTCTGGGCTCCAAGGTGGAGACGGTAGTGAGGGATGGGCCCACGGTTCAGGTTTCCTACCGGGTGGGCAAACACAGCTCCAGACTGTACACCCTCACCGCAGACTTTGTCATCATCACGGCCTCAGCCAAGGCCACACATCTCATCACCTTTAAGCCACTGCTCTCCCCAGACAAAATGGAAGCACTCCGCTTAGTGCATTACACCAGTGCCACCAAAGTGGCTCTCATCTGTAAGGAGCTCTTCTGGGAGCAGGATGGCATCCGGGGTGGGTTCTCCATCACCGACCGGCCCTCGCGCCACATCTACTACCCTAGCCACAGCTTCCCCCAAGGCAAGGGAATCCTGTTGGCCTACACTGTGGACGATGACTCCCGCTTCTTCACATCCATGACGCACGAGCAGATGGAAGATGTGGTCCTGGAGGACGTGGCAGCCCTGCACCAGATACCCAAGGACAAGCTGCGGCGCATGTGCCCCTCCTCTGTGATCAAGCGCTGGTCTCTGGATCCCTTCACCATGGGTGCCTTTGCTGAGTTCACACCCTACCAGTTTACCGACTACTCACAGGAACTCTTCAAGCCCGAGGGCCGCATCCACTTTGCAGGAGAGCATACCTCCATGCCCCATGGCTGGATAGACACCGCCATCAAGTCCGGCCTGCAGGCAGCCAGGAATATCCAGGCTGCTGTGGATGAGGAGGCCACGGGAAAGCAGACAACCTTCACTTACTCCTAGGCCATTTCTAACCCAGAGAGAAATCCCTGAGGGAATCTGTCAGGAAAAGTACGGGGGGGTGGGAGTTGGAGGCAGAGACCCAGGAGAGAGGTCATCATTAGTGCCCCCCTGGCCCACAAGTAAGAATCCAAAAATGCCAAAGAATTGGTCAGAAAGTCCATAAAGAATCGCTCCCTTTCCTGCTCCTCTCCCTGCCAGGCCTTGAGGAGGGAAGCAACAGAGTCAGCATAGATGCAGGGTAAGGAGTAAATCAATGCTGGTGATCATTAGAATCAGCCCTTAGCTTAGACTGCCTCCTGACAACAGTAACAAGCAAAGGACGAAGGCTCCAACAGTGACCTAATTTCGGTCATACACAGCTAGAAGCTTCTACAAGAACAGACAAACCCTGAACCACAGTGATGTTAAACCACAGATTGGCCACACACAAACCCACAGGGCACACAAACCCCATCATTTTCTGAGCTGGGGGCCTCACATCCTGGCCCAACATGGAATCTAGATGGATGGGAGAGGTAAGGGTTTTTCTCTGTTCTTTTTGAGTTTGCAAGAGCAGGATCTTGGCTTCCTAGAGACACTTCCTGACCTATAGATTTGCTCTTCACTCTTACCACCCCCATCACCAACCAGACCCCCTCCTCTCCACCTCTGCCTATCCAGCCTATACCTCTGTCCATCCCCCTGGAAGAACACCAAGCTCATTCTCCATACTTCCACTCTGCTCTTCCTTAACAGAAGAGCCCTGTCCTTCCACACCCAACTAATTCCCCTTCTCTGAATAGCCCCACCCAAGCCCCCAGGGATCCTTCTTTCTCTTTTGAACCTCCACCCTTCCTCCCTCGAGTCCCAAATATTTGGGCTGTGGCTCTTCTTATGTTATTATGTAATTACTTTTATATAATCTGCCCATCTACACTGAGAGCCCCCATAGGCTGGGATCATATTGTGTATGCCTTGGTACATTTTCCCCCATAAACACTACATATATGCTATTTCCCTCACCCTCTCAATAAATATTCATTTTTCATCTACCATGTGTCAGACAATGTGCTGAGTGCCATATATAAAGAATGAGCAGCATTATTCAATTAAATCAAACCTCCACCTCTGAGTGTGTTCCCAAACATTCCGATGATCAGCTCCCAAGTAGGGTTCATTTTTTTTATCCCAAATTCTTGGGTATTTGGGCCCAGTCACGCAAAAGGAAGAAGCAAATGAAGTGAAAAACCCTTTGCCTGGAGAATATTCTTACCAGGGTGACCCTGGAAGACTCTGAAAACCAGCATGATGCAGGAAATGTTATGTCTTGAGACTGGCATATTGCACAGAAGGAAAGGAATAAAGAAAAAATTCACATTTTCCTGTTGCATTTTGGTTGGTCTATTGCTATAATCCCAGCTTGCTTTATTCTGGTTTTTCATTCACCTCTATAGTAGTCAGGACTTTTTCAGTTATAAGTGCTGGGGAAAACAAATCCAGACTAGCTTAAAGGTAAGGAAATGAATAATAGTGAAGGGGAATATAAGGGAAGGGAGAAGAAATGTGTGGGAGATATCAGAAAGGGACACAGAACATAAAGACTTCTAACTCTGGGAAATGAACTAGGGGTGGTGGAAGGGGAGGAGGGCGGGGGGTGGGGGTGAATGGGTGACTGGCACGGAGGGGGACACTTGACGGGATGAGCACTGGGTGTTATTCTGTATGTTGGTAAATTGAACACCAATAAAAATTAATTTATAATAAAAAAAAGGTAAGGAAATGTTTTAGCTCATGTATCTGCAAAGTCCAGGATGAAGCTCACTTCATCCAGGCTGATTAGGTTTAGGGATTGACAATAATGACAATAATGTCATTAAGCTAACTTAGCTTCTGTACTGAGTTAAATAATGTCCCCCGAAATTCACATCCATCCCCCCAAAAAAAAAACCTGTAAATGTGACCTTTTTTGGAAATAAGGTCTTTGCAGATTTAATTAAATGAGGTCATAGCACAGTAAAGTGGACCCTAATCCAATAACTGGTATCCTGAGGGAAATTTGGACAGAGACATACACAGAAGAAGGACAGCCAGGTGAGGATGGAGGCAGGTGGCAGCTATGTATCTACAAGCTAAGGAATGCAAACGATTGCCAGGCACTTCCAAAAGCCAGGAGAGAGGGAGAGGCCTGGAACAGAGTCTTCCCCAGAATCCCCAGAAGAAATCAACCCCAGTGATACCTTGATTTTGAGCTTCTGTGAGTACTACTAGTCATTTGGTATGGCAGCCCTAGGAAACTAATACAACTTCCTTCTTTCTGCTGGCAAGGAACACAGAAGCAACTCCAAGGTTATATCTTCATAGGTTGTCATCCAAGGGGAAAAAAAGGGCTCTTCTCTAAAAATGCATTTATATATATTTTTTCCCACACTACCTGTCCTCCTGCCAGATCAGGGGCCCACCCCTTAGAATAGGAAGTAGATCTTGTGACTGGCAGCCCCAGGCACCAGTGGAAGGGGAGAAAGGGAGAAAGGAACATCTCTTAAGAAGAGTATTTTGGTGGATGTCTGGGTGGCTCAGGGGTTGAGCATCTGCCTTGGGCTCAGGGCATGATCCTGGAGACCCGGGATAGAGTCCCACATCAGGCTCCCTGCACGGAGCCTGTTTCTCCCTCTGCCTGTGTCTCTGCCTCTCTCTCTCTCTGTCTCTCTCTCTCTCTCTCTCTCTCTCTCTCGAATAAATAAAATCTTTAAGGAAGAGGAAGAGGAGGAGGAGGGGGATGATTTGGAGCAGATAAAAACAACAGATGTATACTACAAACGGCAGCTCCTCCAGACCCCAGGGTTGGGCTAAGGGATCCTGCAGAGCCACACCAGCACTGTTTCAGCCAGCTCCCCTGGGGCTTCCCAGGGTGAGACAGTTCACTGGCAACGGCCATAGGAAGCTAGAAGCAGAGTGAACTGGTTTGTTCCTAGCACTGGACTCTGTGAAAGGAGGAGTCACTTTCCATACTGTCTCTGGGACTGTTTGTATTTGGTAACCCCCTTAGTCTCTTGACAAAGGCCATGACTTCCTTGAGACTCTCAGAGGAGGAGAAGAATCCTGTCCCCTTGGAGTCCAGGCAGGAAGGAGTGGAAGGCAGGACCTAGGGATAGCAGGGCCCTAAGGAAGAGCTCATCATGAACTCTTCAGCAAAGAGCAGGATTGTGAAAAAATTAGTCCTGAGGGAGCACAGGCAAGAACGGGGCAGCGGGTCCACCAGAAATAATGGCTCTTTACCAGCCTCTGTCTATGAAGTGTAAAAATGTATTGGATGCTTTACAATAAAGTCCTGATAGTTTTATATTTCTTTTTTGTAGTGCAAGTGTCTGGCATCCACTTTGATTGCTAAGGCATCCATTTCAAAGAGGACTATCTCAAAAAAACACATTTCCAGCCATGTTAGGTAAAGAGCCAGGCCACCTCCTTTGTTTTAGAGATATTGGTTGAGTTTGATAACTGATCATTTGTGCCACTTGTCTTTTATCCCCTGAGCTTTAAATTCCTGCTTTTATGTTTTAAATTCACCAAAAAAGAGCATGCCTATAAAACCCTAGGTCCCCCACCCTTGACCGCAATAAAAACAGAACCCCAGGCCCATGATTCCCTTTACTGGCAACTTTCCTGTGTCACCCCAGGGGTGCTGTGTAATTCCCAGGTCTTGTAAGTAATAAGTCTTTCTTTTTTTCAAAGTTTCCTGATGGTTGTTGCTGGAAGGTGCCTTATACTCATAAGAACCACAAGAGTGTGTCCAGTCACAACATTGGTTTGAAAAAGGAAGATGTCTGTGGGAAGCTCACTGGTGCGAGGTGAGTGGCCCCCCTGGTATTTCTAATCAATATTGACAGGCTGAGAATAGCACAAAGCAGAGTCAAATGATTCCCAGCATTTGGATGGGAGTGTCAGACAGAAAATGAAAAGGCTCAGAAATACCAGAGGACTATCACTGGGGACATAAAACTGCCACACAGAGTTCTTGATTACAAATGATAGAAACCAAGTCTGAGTAACTTACATTGAAGAGGAACTTGAGGAATAATATCAAGAAGCTCACAAAATTGACAGGAAGGAAAGTAGGCAGATGCCAAAGGAGACCAGATGACCTGAGCCACAGCCAATTTCCAAGCTCCTGCCATTGGAGCAACCTGATAGCTGGTGCTCAGGCAATGGAGCACAGCAGCCACCACCATGACCAGCCACAGGATGCTTCTGCTGCTGCTGTCAGAACAAGTTCTCAACTGTCCACTACTTTTTTGTGTCATTTCCCCCAGATTCAAAGTCCCAAATGGGAACATCCAATTGGCTGAGTCTAGGGGATTGCTCACTCCCTGACTGGGGCTCAGGGAAAGCAAGCAACCAACAGCACTCTGGCTTTTGGGGTGAGAGGTGAGGCACTGCCTTCCAGCAAACCCTACTGTGCTGGGTTTTCCAGGTGTAGGAAACAGATGTTTGATGCTAGCAGCCATAAGGCAGAAGTCAAGGTAAGGCCCAAAGAGATGACCGGGCACAGACCCCTCCACCGCACTAGCCATTGAATTCTCTAAATCTCAGCTGGATGATAAGGATAGCATCTGCCACATCATGGGTGAAGGGATTAGAGATTATGTCTAGGCACTGGAGAGTCTATGTACAGAATGCATGCAGTAGGTCCTTATACTCTAATGTTCTGAGAGAGGAGTTATTCCCAATTTAAAGGCAAGGTTTAGCAGGGCTGAGGGACTTGCTGAAGGTTTGACACTGACCAGTAAGGAGAGGATTTGCAGCCAGAGCTGCCTGAACCAGAAGTCTAGCTCCTTCCACAGCGCAATGCTGCTGGTCTAGTTGGAGTCCAGACTAACAGAGGCTGAGGAAGATGAGGTGGCAGGTGCTCCATGAAGGCTGAGATGCAGGTGGGCAGAGAAGACCACCTCTCTGGATGACATGTTATCCCTAGAACGTGGCACTCCCTCATTTCCTTCCTTATAAACTTTATTGAAAAGGGAAAAAAAGATTTTTCAGCTCAGTAAACATGTGTCCTTAAGACAGCACGTCAAACACCTCTGCAGCAAAAGGTGACTCATATTAATCACTGGCCTAGGGGATCCCTGGGTGGCTCAGGGTTTTAGTCCCTGCCTTCAGCCCAGGGCGTAATCCTGGAGTTCTGGGATCAATTCCCACATCGGGCTCCCAGCATGGAGCCAGCTTCTCCCTCTGCCTGTGTCTCTGCCTCTCTCTCTCTCTCTCTCTCTCTCTCTCTCTCTCTGTGTGTGTGTGTGTGTGTGTGTGTGTGTGCGTGTGCGTCTCATGAATAAATAAATAAAAATCTTAAAAAGAAAAAAACGGGGGGGAGAATGGTGTTACATCTCGTAAAACAAGCAGCCTCTCTACAGATCTCTGCTACAAATTTCAGTAAGCAGTCTTTTTTTATCTGATACAACAAAATCTGGGAACACTCACAGAAGTGCAAGCACATATAACTGTATGTTTAACATAAGCTTTATCAGAAACAGCAGTTGACTTCAGTAACTATTAAGAGGTGAAAGCATGCCCCATACCTCCCCAAAAGCACCATTCACACAATCCATTTGGAGGACTAACTTCTGATCATTCCAGGCTGAAGCTCACTTGGGAGCATGGAACATCTTGAACAAACCCTCACTTGGAGTCCCTGGGCATGACGTCCTCTCTTCCTGCCCCCAGGCATCTTCTTAGAATCTGTAAGGAAATCAGGAATCAGATGCCAGAGCTCCTGATGAAGAAGCAAGGCTGGAACTTGGAGCTGGGCCCTTTGAATGCCAAGAACCCACTCATCAGCCCCAGGAAAAAGGGTGAAGCAGGAGGGGTGGAGAAGGAAGAGGGAAGTGGACCCTGCCAGAAGCAAACCTCAGCCCCTCTACATCTTCCTTTCCCAAGCCATTCTGTATTCATCACTGATATTAGTCTTCCTGCTTGACAGACAAGGAATTCAGGCCCAAAGACTGAGACTGACCCAGCAAGCAAGTGGAAGAGTCCAGACCAGATGATAATAAGAATAGCCTTCATTAGTTTCCATTTGCACGTTCTCAGCTAGAACCATATATTCATTTTGTAACTGAATCCCCACCAAAAAAACCTCTATCAAATAGACACCGTCATTATCTCCATTTTACAAATGAAGGAATTAAGAACTAGAAAAGTTGATTTTCTGGAAATTTCTCAAATGACCAAACATATTTTCCATATAACTTGAAATTCTATTCCTAGGTAAGAAATGAAAATATACACGCACATAAAAACTTGTACTTGACTGTATATAGCAGCATTATTCATAATAGCCAAAAGGTAGGGGTGCCTGGGTGGCTCAGTTGGTTGGGCATCTGACTTTTGATTTCAGCTCATGTCATGATCTCAGGGTCGTGAAATCAAGCCCCATGTCAGGCTCCAAATCCAGCGTGGAGCCTGCTTAGGGTGTTCTCTCTGTCTGTGTGTGTGTGTGTGTGTGTGTGTGTGTGTGTGTCCCTCCCCCCAACTTATGCTTTCTTTCTCTTTCTAAAAAAATTAAAATACATTGTTTTAATAGCCAAAAGGTAGAAATCTCCCAAATATCCGTCAACTGACAAATGGATAAATGTGCAGCAGTTATACAATGGAATATTATCCCTCCATACAAAAAGAATGAAATAGATGCCTGGGTGGCTCAGTAGTTGAGCATCTGCCTTTGACCCAGAGTGTGATCCCAGGACCCAGAATTGAGTCCCACATCGGGATCCTTGCATGGAGTCTGCTTCTCCCTCTGCCTGTGTCTCTGCCTCTCTCTCTCTCCTCTCTCTCTCTCTCTCCCTCTGTGTGTGTGTCTCATGAATAAATAAATAAAATCTTTTTAAAGAATGAAATACTGACATATTTGAACATGGATGAATCACTAAAACATTATGCTAAGTGTAAGAAGCCAGTAACAAAAGGCCACATATTATAATTCCATGTATATGTAATATCCAGAAGAGGGAAATTTATGAAATGAAAAGCAAGTCAGTGGTTGCTTGGTTGGGGGAAGGGGAGGAATGAGTTGATAGTTAAAAGCTACAGGAATTCTTGAGGTAATGAAAATGAAAACTGACTATGGTGAGGTTGAACAGATGACTGTACTAAACACCATTGAATTACATACTCTAAATGGGTAAAATGTATGGTATGTGGATTATATCTCAAAAAAAGCAATTTTTAAAAAAGAAAAGTTATTTTGTTCTAAGTTGCATAAACAGACATTTCTATATGGTGTCCCGCATGTCCACACAAATTTAAAGTTTTAGTCTAACATGTAAATTAAATCAAAAGATCTCCCAGATTCCATGTAATAAAAAGTGAGCCAGTACAAACCAGAGCCAAACCTAGTATTGTCTTTTTTTAAAGATTTTATTCATATATTCGTGAGAGACACACAGAGAGAGGCAGAGACACAGGCAGAGGAAGAAGCAAGTTCCCTGCAGGGAGCCTGAGGCAGGACTCAATCTCAGGACCCCAGGATCATGACCTGAGCAAAAGGCAGACTTTCAACCTCTGAGCCACCCAGGTGCCCCTAACATTATCTTTAAAACCATTTAATCCAAAAGAATCAGAATGCTGCTTCTTTCTTGAGCCTCTGGCTGTCTGAATGGTTTCTATTCAATACAAGGGGTCTGGAGCCTGCCCATCTTTCCAAGGCTAGAGAAGAAAGAAGCTCTCTGGTGATACTGCAAGGAGGTGCAAATTGACTTTAGGAAGCACATTCATCTGTGTACCTGGGAAGATTGGGAAATTACTTTCCTCAGAAATGGCCCCATCTTAGTGCCCCATGGGCATGGAAATGGAAAAGTGAGAGTCAGCCATTGCCCCCAAGGCTGTTCTGTACCTAGCAAGTAACTGGAACTAAAGTTCTTCAGGCTTAGCCAGGGTAATGGAAATGCTGACTGCCTAATAGGTGGTGGCACCAGACTAGGACTTCTAGACCAAACTTGGCATCCTGAGCTACCCAGAAGAGGAGGGTAACTGAACAGAAGTGCTCTGTTCAATAGCACTAATAATAGCCTAATAGCCCACCACCACCAGCATGCCACGCTCCACCCCAAGAAGAAAACAGGAAGGGTTTATGGACTGAAAGTGTCGCTAAAGAACACGGAGCCCAGCCCCAATATTTAAAATAGGAAAACAGGGGCACCTGGAGGCTCAGTCAGTTAAGTGTATGCCTTCAGCTCAGGTCATGATCCCAAGGTCCTAGGATCAAGCCCCCATTGAGTTCCCTGCTCAGCAACCAGCCTGCTTCTCCCTCTCCCTTTGCCTTTGCCCCTGCCCCTGCTTATTCTCTCTCTCTCTCTCTCTCTCTCTCTCTCTCTCTCTCTCTCATAAATAAATAAATAAATAAATAAATAAATAAATAAATAAAATCTTTTCAAAAAATAGGGAAACGGAAATGCCCAGAGGAATTAAAAACATGATCAAGGGAAAGAGAATATAAAAAATTTGCTGGTCTGATTTTAAAAATAACTAAAGAGAACTTCAGAGGTGAAAACCATAAATACAATTAGAAAGACAAGGAATAGGTTTAATTGGAGGCTAGACTCATCTGGAAAGATAACCAGTAAACTGGAGGAAAAAGCTAAAAAATGACAAAAAGATGAAAATTATGAAAAAGAACTTAGCCACATAGGATAGAGAGAGACTATCAGTATAAAACTAATTTGGTATAGCAGGAAAGACCAGAAAGGTAAAAAAAAAAAAGTCAAAACTTGAAGAAATAATAACTGAAAATTTTCCAGAATTGATGAAACACCTAGAACAAAACATAAAGGAAGTCTTGCAAATCCCCAAACTGGCTAAGTCAAAAGAAGTGCTCTCCTGGGCACATCATGGTCAAACTGCTGAACCAAAGAACAAACATGTTAAAAGCATCTAGGAAAGAAAGATCACCTACCAAGGACTATCAATTAAATTGATAGCTGACAAACTGTGGAAGCAGCCTCAGTGTCCGTCGAAAGATGAATGGATAAAGAAGATGTGGTCTATATATACAATGGAATATTACTCAGCCATTAGAAAGACAAATACCCACCATTTGCTTCGATGTGGAGGGACCTGGAGGGTATTACGCTGAGTGAAATAAGTCAATCGGAGAAGGACAAACATTATATGGTCTCATTCATTTGGGGAATATAAAAATTAGTGAAAGGGAATAAAGGGAAAGGAGAGAAAATGAGTGAAAATATCAGTGAAGTTGACAAAACATGAGAGACACCTGACTCTGGGAAATGAACAAGGGGGAGTGGAAAGGGAGGTGGGTGGGGGTTGGGGTGACTGGGTGATGGGAACTGAAGGGGCACTTGGCAGGATGAGCACTGGGTGTTATGCTAAATGTTGGCAAATTGAACTCCAATAAAAAGTTTTTAATTAAAAATAAATAAATTGATAGCTGAATTCTCAATAGCTACAATAAGACCATAGTACACTGGAGTAATGCCTGCAAAGTGCTTAGAGAAAGTAACAGCCTAGAGTTCTGAAACCAGCAAAACTATCTTTCAATAATAAGAGTGAAACAGGGGATGCCTGAGTGGCTCAGTGGTTGAGCATCTGCCTTTGGCTCAGGGCATGATCCTGGAGTCCTGGGATCAAGTCCCACATCGGACTCCCTGCATGGAGCCTGCTTCTCCATCTGCCTATGTCTCTCTCTCTCTATGTCTCTCATGAATAAATAAATAAAATCTTTTTAAAAAAAAAGAAAAGAAGAGGAAGGAGAATGAAATGAGTCCAGAATGAACATCTATATGGAGAAAAAAGAACAGTGAGCAAATAATATTGTAAGTATGGTAAATCCAAACAAACACAAACGTTGTAAGACAATAATTATGACCAATTTTTAGTGTTAAGATTCTCTCCCTCTTCCTCTGGTCTTCCCTCATCTCCCTCCAAAAAAAGAAAAAAAAACTTTTAACACTAAAAATTTCCCAGCCTCTTTTGAAGAAAAACATGCCAATGAAATATAAACCAAGTTATTGGATAAACCATCTAGAAAATCTCCTTAAAGGGACATGACTCAGAGGGAAAGCCCTCCCCTTTTGTCCCTTGCTCTTTCCCTCCTTCTTGTCTACAACTCAGATGAGATGGCTAGAACTCCAGCAACCTCGACGTGGATGGAACTGGAGGGTACTATGCTAAGTGAAATAAGTCAATCGGAGAAGGACAAATATTATATGGTCTCATTCATTTGGGGAATATAAATAATAGTGAAAGGGAATAGAGGGGAAGGGACAAGAAATGGGTAGGAAATATCAGAAAGGGAGACAGAACATGGAAGACTCCTAACTCTGGGAATCGAACTAGGGATGGTGGAAGGGGAGGAGGGCGGGGGTGGGGGTGACTGGGTGGCGGGCACTGAGGGGGGCACTTGACGGGATGAGCACTGGGTGTTATTCTGCATGTTGGCAAATTGAACACCAATAAAAAATAAATTTATTATTAAAAAAAAGAACTCCAGCAACCATTTTGTGGCCATACAATGGCATCCAATGTAAAATATCAGGAAAAATAACCAATACCATAAACATAAGGAAAACAGAAGGAAGAATTGAATAAAGATATTAATAAATACCTAATTAGTAAGCATATTAATTAGAAAGTAGGACATTAATACACGCAAGAGATTCTTTTTTTATATAAATTTATATAAACGAACATCTAGTTTGTTTCCCAGAGTTAGGAGTCTTTCA